GCTGCCATCGGTGCGCTGTATGTCTTGGCTGGTGTGAGGATGTCCCAGAAGGCCCTAGGGAGAGATCGTGGCTGGTGGCTGGGCTCCCGGCTCTCAGAATCAAGAAGTGCTGAGAACTCCATCTGGGGACAGGCAGGTGGGTGCCCGCTCCTTCCCTCCTTCTGTCTGGATCTACTTAAAAGCAATTGTGCAGGTGCAGGAGGTCAGCAGACTACCTTCAAGGAGGCAGGAAGGAGGAGGGGACAGCAAGGAACAAGTGGGACCACAAGTGACATGCTACCTACAAGTGTTACCTGCCCACAAAGGAACCCAATGGTGCACGGGCTGGAGAAAGTGGTGCTGTTTTGGAGAGGCTATGGAACCCTAGGACAGACATTTTATGTGTATTTATTTATTTTCGGTTTTTCGAGACAGGGTTTCTCTGTGTAACAGCTCTGGCTATCCTGAAACTCGCTCTGTAGACCAGGCTGGCCTTGAACTCACAGAGATCCTCCTGTCTCTGCCTCCCGAGTGCTGGGATTAAAGACATGTGTCACCACCTCCCAGCTAAGGACAGCGGTCCTAACCCTGTGGGTTGCGACCCTCTGGGAGTCAAATGACCCTTTCACAGGGGTCGTGTATCTGATATTTACATATTATGATTCATCGCAGTAGCAAAATTACAGTTATGAAGCAGCAACGAAAATAATTTTGTGCTTGGGGGTCACCACAACACTGGGAACTGTATTAAAGGGTTGCAGTGTTGGAAGGTTGAGAACCCCTGCTTTAGGACAGACACCCTTGCTGAAGGAAGTACGTCACCGTGGGCAGGTCTTGAGTGTTCATAACCTGGCCATACTTCCTGTTCTCCCCTTTCTGCCTAGGGTTGGCCTGTCCAACCAGCTCCCTGATGGTGTGGCCACGAATCCCTGACTGGTTGCCATTCCTTCCCGACTGAATGCCATCCCCTCGGCACTCAAACCAAAATAAACCGTTTTCTTTCCTAACCTGCTTGCTGCTAATATTTTTACCACAGCAACAGGAGAATAGTTAATACAAGCGATATAGAGGCCGGGAGCAATGGTGAATGAATGTGATCCCAGCACTTGCTGGGTAGAGACGGGGGTCAGGAGTTCAAAGCCAACCACATACCAAACTGGAGGCCAGCCAGGGCTACTCGAGGCCCCGTCTCAAACAGAAACGGATTGTGATGGGGGATGTCCTTCTGAATATGTATTTCTCTTAGTGGTTGATGAATAAAACACTGGCCAATAGAGGCAGGGAGATAGGCGGGACTAAGGGACAAGGAGAATTCTGGGAAATGTAGGCAGAGAGGGACCTCGAAGAGACGCCATGTAGCTGCCAAAGGAGAAACAGGTCTGTACATTCTCCGGTAAGCCAAGACCACACGGAAATACATAGGTTAGTAGAAATGTGTTAATAATTCAGACAGAGAAAGCCATGGGCTGGAGAGATGGCTCAGTCGTTAAAGGCTAGGCTCACAACCAAAAATATAAGAGAAAGCCAATAAGAATAGCCATCGGCCAACAGTTTTATAATTAATATAGAGTCTGTGTGTTTATTTGGGGCTGAAGGGCAGCAGGACCTGATGGGACAAGAAATACCAGTTACAGGATTGATTCTTTTTGTTGTTACTGGTTTTTAGATAGAGCCTCACTGTGTAGCCAAGGCTATCCAGGCTGACCTGGAACTCACTTGTGGCAAGCCTTCTAGAGGGCTTAGAATATAGGTCTATACTACCAGGCTTTCTTTTTTCTTTCTTTCTGTCTTTCTTTTTCTTTTTTTTTTCTTTTTTTTTTTTTTTTTTTTTTTTTTTTTTTTTTTTTTTGAAAATGGGTT